AGTGCTCTTTCATGCAGGACGAGACCGAATTCCTGGGCCATGTTATCTCGAAGGACGGACTCAAGACTAATGCTGGACTCGTGAAGGCGATCAGGGAATGGCCAGTTCCCTCGACTCAGCGCCAAGTTATGCAGTTTCTGGGCTTGACAAACTTCTACCATCAATACATTGACCGCTACGCAGATATTGCTCTCCCTCTCACCACGTTACTAGGCTCCACGACTCCGTTCACTTGGGACAAGCCCCAGCAGGATGCCTTCGACGCTCTGAAAAACGCTGTGACTACAGCCCCAGTCCTCCGCATCTTCGACCCAGCCCTCTCCACAGCTGTCGAAACTGATGCCTCCGGCTTTGCCATCGGTGCTGTTTTATTTCAGACGGATAGCAACGGTGAATCTCGACCCGTCGCATTCACTTCACGCAAATTGTGCCCAGCAGAACGGAATTATCCGACACATGAGCAAGAATTGCTGGCTGTGGTGCACGCCCTCAAGACATGGCGGTATTATTTGGACGGATCGCACTTCATCGTCTACACGGATCATGCGACTCTACAACACTTTCCAACCCAGCCTAATTTGACGCGGAGACAGGCTAGATGGATGGAGCTCCTCCAGGAATACGATTTCGACTTCAGATACAAGCGAGGCAAAGACAACATCGTTCCCGATGCACTTTCAAGAAGACCCGACCACAAGGACGAGAACCCTGCCGGCACAGCATTTAATTCCATGGACGTTCAGGTGGACCTCAACTTACGGAAACGCCTGATCGAGAGCTACCCTTCAGACTGCACCTTAGGCCCAGTATACAACAAGTCGTCCAGCGCAGGCCCAACGGACCGCTACTTTGTTGCAGATGGACTACTCTGGATCAATGCTGGTGGCGAGCCACGCCTATGCATCCCAAACGACAACAAGCTCCGAGCAACCCTCCTCCATGACGCACACGACTCGCCCATTGCTGGCCACCTGGGTTTCGAGAAAACATACGAGAACATGAGACGAACCTTTTTCTGGCCACGAATGGCTCGTGACACAAAAGCATATGTGGGATCATGCGAGCAATGCCAACGCAACAAACCATTGCTTCAGCACCCTGCCGGTCTATTCAAGCCTCTGGACATACCGAGCCAGCGATGGGATACAGTCTCCATGGATTTCATCGTGTCACTTCCCAAAACAAGCCGTGGAGTCGATGCGATCACAGTCATCGTAGATAAGTTGTCCAAGCAGGTCCATTTTTGTGCTAGTCATACCACGGACTCCGCCACCGACGTCGCCCGATTATTTTTCGAGCAAGTCTTCCGCTTGCATGGTATGGCGCGCGCCATCGTCTCGGACCGCGACTCTCGCTTCACAGGCAAATTCTGGACGGCATTAATGAAGATGATGGGGACCAAATTGAACATGTCAACGGCATATCACCCTCAGACGGACGGCCAAACGGAACGTGCCAATCGAACGCTCGAAGAGATGCTGCGCTCTTACATTTCGTATAACCAAAAGGACTGGGATCTGTTCTTGCCGATGCTCGAGTTTGCGTACAACAATTCGGTAAACCCAACGACAGGATTTTCGCCCTTTTTTCTCAATTATGGTCACCACCCTCTCGTGCCTGCATCACTTTTGAAGCCGTCCACCACCAACGTGCCATCAGTCTCAGACTTCGTGGCTGCTCAGTCGGCTGCTCTCGCTCGCGCCCAGGATGCCATCGTCGCTGCTCAGGACCGCCAGAAGCAGCAAGCAGATAAATTCCGCAGTAACGTGCCGTTCGGCGTCGGAGACAGGGTACTTCTTAGCACAGAACACCTCTCGGTCGCAGCACATGCCAATCGACCCTCAAGAAAGCTGGAACCGCGATATATCGGCCCTTACAGGATTGTCGAGCAGGTCAATGACAACGCATTCAAGATCGACCTGCCACCCAATATGCACCAACATCCTGTGTTCAATGCCGATTTGCTCCGTCTTTACACCGAGTCACCAACTGAGTTCGGCGATCGCATACCGCCTCGACCTTCACCGGAGCTCATTGATGGAGAAGAAGAGTTCGAAGTAGAACGCATTCTGGATCACAAAATATTTGGTAGGACACCTAAATGGCTCGTTCAATGGAAAGGATACCCACTGGAAGAGGCAACCTGGGAGCCAAAGGCGTCATTGGTCAATGCTAAGGAGGCCCTAGCAGAGTTCGAGGCCAAGCGTGAAAAGGAGTAACGTTTTTTTTTAAGATGGGGAGGTGCAACAGGTACAACTGTTTATTCGAGAATGATGTCATGGTCATAACCATGCTGCGCCTAGTTTCTAGAGCATTCCAACACAACTGTGTCTAGTATATAAGAGCCCTTCAAACGTAGGATTAGACAGTAATCAATCATCGAATAAACCTCTGATTCCACCCTAGAACCCCTCCGACTCCTGACTATTTGCAATACGTGATGGATGGAAATCAATGTGGTCAAGGAGAGAACGAAGGCAGTGAGGAAAGTGACGAGGAGGTTGACGAGGAGAAGCAGTGGGTGGAGAAAGAATTGTTTGAGAGACAGCGTCAAGGGTATGGAGATGAGGAGGAGGAGGAGGAAGACGAGGAGTTGCTGCTGCATCGTGATCGAGGAGCGGCTATTGCACCCTTTGCTGTAGAGGAAGAACCCACTGCTGACTACAGCAATTACAGCGGCCATGCCGGCGATGAGAGCAACAGTGACAGTGACCACGACAAGAGCAACAACACAATATCAATAACAACAACAGCAGCAACAGTAGCAAATAACATACCCATCAACGAATATCATTCTTTTTCTTAACCACCTTTTGTCCGGCCCTTTTGCCCTTCCTTTTATGTGGGTTGAAAATACCTCATGTGACCGAATAATTGATCTGACTGAATAACATTTTAATTCATTTCTTCGAAATTGTTATCCGGACAGATTTCCTATCCTTTTGTCCGGATAAAAAAGAATTGACTGTACTACTCCAATATGATCACAAACGAGTGTCTGTTTTCTCTTTTCCATGGCACCTCGTCATTCAGCTTCGGAGTGAAATCTGGCTCAATCCTGCCTCATATTGGATTGGACAAAGGGGTAGATTCTCCAGCGATAAGGAAACCGATATGTGAATCTACATGTAGACCTAGTATGACACCCCGTTATCACCGCACTACTGGTAAACGGCAATTTAGTGCGTCGCCCGAGTGTGTCAAGAGTGTAACACACCTGGTATCAGAGAACGGAGCTGAACTACAGTCTATATTAAGGAAGCGATGGCTAAAAAGATTCGGATCCTTAAACGAATTGAGGTGATGGGATTAGATGTGTGATAGAAGCAAGAGCAATCTATTAACAATTACGTATTGGGTACGATGGCGCGTGGTCAGGGCAGAAGGAAAAAAGTTCGGGCTGGTATAGAGAGAGAGGTGTACAAAAGTGCGCACTGGTAGAGAGAGAGAGAGATGTACTGAAGTTTGCACTCTTGACACATCTGGGCGACGATAACGGGGTGTCAGGCGCTTAAGCACTTAGAAACCCAGGCATTGATCATAAAGCCTCTTTTATATGCCCGTGAGATTATCTTTGTTTCGCTTTAGAATAACAGGGTGTAAGATTACAGTCGAAACTCGTTTTTAGGCCGGGGTTTGTTAACAAAACGCGGCCAACAAACTTAATTTGAAATTGAATTGACCTCTCTGAGTGGGCTATTCTAAAGACCAGAAAATACAGTCACATATTCAGTCACATGCTCTACCGTTGACGTAGAATCCTTTATTATTCCTGCAAAGCACGCACCAGTTGCTTCACTGTCCGTCGAATATCAAACGTATTCTTTGACCCCTGCTTCGCTCTCTCTCTGATTTGCTTGAGGCCTTCGATGCTTACAAGGTCTCCAGCCAGACCCTTCAGCACTTGAGCGGCTATGTTCCATTCCTCGTCTGCGATCGGTGAGCTTGTGTATCCGTCATGACTAACTTCTTCAGACTGGTCGCTTTCTCCATCTGCATTCACCTGCTGCTGCACTTCCTCGGCCAGCTCCTGCACATCCTTGTTTCCTACTATTCGGAAATTCCAATTATTTTCCATATTAGTCTCGGCGATCAGATGCTCGAAATGTATTCTCTCCTGCTCTTCGTATTGGTTGTGTCGGGAGTATCGAAGTGGTTGATACTGTTCAGCCTGGGTTGGCTGCCGTCTGAGCTGCTCACGCATTTCCGTCGGAAGGACTGGCGTTTTGGCGAAGCAGTTTCGCAGCGTTAGAGGCTTCACTCGACTCCATGCATAGGGGATCAATGTCCAAGCGAGTTCGTTGGAGATACATTTCTTCTTTTGATAGTTGCGAGCGAGATAGGTTTCATAGCTGAGCATCTCCAGGAAAGCTCGTTTGAAAACACTAATTACGCCCGCGTCGAGAGGCTGCGTTACTGATGTGGTGTTTGTCGGGAGCCGCCGTATGTGAAGATGCTTCCAAGGCGTGTTGGTTCGCAGATCACGCATGTCGATGTTGTTGTGCGCACCTGCGGAGTCAAGAAGGAGAAGGGTTGGCTGCGAGAGATCGTCATCAAACATTCGTAGCCATCCTACGAATACGTCGTTCTTCATCCATCCCGAGCTTGTTTCCTTCATGAGCATCCCTTTCGCCGAATCTTCTTCAAGATTTGGAATACTTGTGCCTAAAGTAAAGAGCATCACAGAGTCGCAAAGGTCAAGATGAAATATAAAGCACCGATAAATAGATGACGATTGCAACATAAATCATACGTTCAACACATTACCGATGACCAACGGCTTCAATGAATTCTTGGTGTCTGCCATGGCGAGAGAGGACCCAGAAGCATTAATGCAGAACAGGATGGAGACCCTGCAGCTCCTATTGGCCTTGATGCCCGACTTTGACTCTTGAGTTGTGTAAGACTTGTTGTCCAGCTCCTGCAAGTAAAAGCCAGTCTCGTCGCAGTTGAATATGTTGTCTGGAGTGTATTGGGCGCAAAGCTGACGGATATCGGTAAGCTCTGGTTCAATCGCCTCCAGGTCGACCGATCCTGCTTCTCCATGAAGCTGGCAGTAGGTTATCCCATAGTGTTTCTTGAAGGCGTTAAACCATGAGGCTGAGAATGACGGCGGTGCCTCAGACACGGTATCGCCCGAATCGTCCTGCAGATCGACAAGAATCATACCTGCATTCTTGATCATCTTGCCATTGACAGGGATGTTCTGCTTCCGCTGAACTTGTAGTCACCGATATAGGACCTCCTCGATCAGTACGTTCTTGCGGTTGACGATGTAGTAAGCATCCGCAGGGGACATCTTGGCTGCAGCACGTATTTCGTCTTCTCGCTTGATCATGCGCCTAAGGGTACGTCCCGGAAGACTGATGCCTATCATAGGCCCGAAGGTGTTGTAAGAAACCTTGATGTTGAGGTTTTCCTTCCGATCATAGAGATAATGATATATGTCCAGTAATTCGACTTGCTTCTTCAGGGTGTGAGAGACCCTGGCCATTGGGATCTCGAACTGGTTGGGGTTAGGAAACGCAATGAATGTGGTCATATCTTTGCTCCTGGCACAATCCAAAATGAATTTGTATCTCAGTCGATGAGTGCGCTCGGTATCCTCAAGTTCGCTCTTGGTGTATTTTTTGTGATTTTTGGCAGGAGGGTGTACAAGAGTTGGTTTTTGTTTTTTGTTTGATGTCGTTGCCTGGATCGAGAGCGACTCATATTGTCTTTTTTGGGAGGTTTTTGTAGCCATGGTGTTGAGATGTATAGAATGCAACATGAGAGACGTGTCCATGGAGAGCAAGAAGCACGCTCGCAACGCAGCATGTGACTGAATATGTGACTGTATTTTCTGGTCTTTAGAATAGCCCACTCAGAGAGGTCAATTCAATTTCAAATTAAGTTTGTTGGCCGCGTTTTGTTAACAAACCCCGGCCTAAAAACGAGTTTCGACTGTAAAGCTCTTACGGGGGGTGTGAGAATAAAATTTCATTATGTGCTTTGGATAATCTCACGGGGGGTGTAAGAATAAAATCTTACGGGGGGTTGAGATTATACTCTTCCATTTGGCAACCCCTGCACAAATCCCATGTAAAACAAGACTCGTATCTTTTGCGAATTTCAAGTCGAAACAACGCGGCGAGAGGTTGAGAACCATTCCTTCCTCCACCTGGCACCCCATACAGCCTTTTGCGACCTTGGGAGAAGCCTTCTTCATGACGGAAAACAGGATTTTATCGATGACGGACTCAGCGATGACGAAATGGGAAATCAGTTACATTGTGGAGTCCTTTAAGAGCCAGATGACGATCTAGCTTAAAGGGTCGGGGCCAGGTACTATAAGGACTACTGGCATAATCGACGTTTAAAAAATGTTGGCCTTACATGGAGTTAGTATAGGGGTTGCCAAATAGCAGCGGCAACCCGGGTTGTCAAATAGTCAAATAGATTATTCCTCTGATTTTATTACGTGGAGCAGTGTTCTTCCTGCTCTTTCTGGAGGTGTTGTTGCTTAGCGACGACCCGGACTGCTGGAGCGACCTGAGCGACGTCCATTGTAACCTCCTCTACTACGGGATGTGAATCCTCTGCGTCCACGATCATCATGGGAATTGGGCTTTACGAAAGCAAAGTCACAGGCTAAGGTCTGGTCTAGAAGCTTTGATCCGTTCATGCCTGCGATGGCTGCCTCCGCTTCCGAAAACTTTTCATATTCGATCAATGCGTATCCCTGGCGGTGTAATGTTAAATAAAAACTAGGTCAGTGATTATTGAATTAGTTCTTTGCAAAGAGGGGACATGATTGGTTTCTGAATGTTACCTTGACGTATCCTGTGCGACGATCCAAGTTAAGATGCACGTTCTTAATCTCTCCAAACTCCCCGAACTTGTCCTGGATGTCTTCCTCGGTCGCTTCCTCGTGAACTCCTGTGATCAACACAATCCAGCCCTCAACAGCTTTAATGTTTGTAATGATCGGTAGAAGCAGACGAAATTAAAAGTTGAGTGCAATGCACCAAACAAACGAGCCGATGAAGGCTTCCTCCACTTTGTCAACTGTTAAAGAGTCATGATCTCGGCTTACATTTTAATGCCCTGCCGGATGCACTATCGTCGTTCGAATTCAGCTTGTCGAACGAGCTGCCGTGAACACCATCGCCTCTTTGATCTAATCGAGGAGAAGGTGAATGTATCGTATGTTAGTTGCTTCAGGGAATACTCCGTCTAGGCGAGTCATGATTAAATCGCGATCAATGTTTATTACCTCCGCTTTGAAAACCGCGTCCTTTTCTCGTGATCGTGACCTCTGGGACCTCTATTGCAAATGGGGGCAATGTTTGTTTCAGTATTTGCTGATTGTGGTTTTTGGCTGTTGTGGAGTAATGGTCGAGAGTCGTCGATATCCTTGACTTCCTTCTTGTCCAGGATCTGCCGCTCATACTTCTGAAAGTCGTAGCAGATCGAGGTTTTTAATGCTGGGTCCAGCCCTCCGGACAAGAAGTGACCTGAAGAGTTCAACAGTGCTTGTCCTTGATCAGCCCGTCTGCCTAGCTGGCAACGACTAAGAAAGCGCGCATAGTATTCAAATTCGGTCCCATAGAATATAGCCTGGTGGGTATGTCCATGACATTCAGTCACTTTGGTTTGAAAGCTGGCAGGGGATTCGCTGGTTGCTCAGATCGTCCTTCCTCCTTAGTCCACTGGGCAAGGTGCTGATGGAGTTCCACGCTGTGCTTGTTTTACCTGCCATTTCCTCGTCCTGCAGGTCTTCGCCGGGCTTGACACTCAGGTCGATCGCATATTTGTCGGTCATAGTCGTATAGGGGGGCGGACGCTTTCAGAGGGGGAAAGTGGGTTGATGCAAAGAGTAGAGCCGATCGAAAGAGGGAGGGCTATTTTTTGAGTTGAAGTGCAACGTCACCTTGATGGTGGGAGGGAGCCTTTTTTTTTTTTGTTCCATTCCCATTCATTCGTACATTCATACATTCATACACGCACCACCATGCTTCGAGCCATCCCACTAAAAACACCATCAATGTCGTTTGTAGCCGCTGCGGTCGCAGCTAGTGCACTCAGAACAGCACGTGTGGCAGTATGTTTGGGACATAGACTTGATCCCCTTGGCGGAACGCGAAATTGTGCAAGACCTTATGATATCTAAACTACTTGGATTTTTCTTTTGTCACCAACACAATAGGGTATCTCGGCGCCCACCGCATTCGTTCTGCGCAGGTCATACGCCACCCGCTACGGAGACGATGGATACACAAACTGGACCGGAGGCATCGGCAGTTCACGGAAATCTATTCCTATGAACACGGTATGATAGCCTTGACATATTTCTCACGGCAAGTGGGCTATCGTGAAGTGGATGTCTTGTTGACAATGCCGCGCTCTTTTGGTTTGCGAATAGGTTATCAAATTTGTGCCACAGCAGGAGGCATGGATTGTTGAGCGCATGGGTCGATTCTCCCGTGTGCTGGAGCCAGGTCTTCAGATCCTGATGCCATTTTTGGACCGCGTCAAATATGTGAAGAGTTTGAAGGAAGTCGCTATTGAGATTCCAAGCCAGAGCGCCATTACACAAGGTACTGATCCAGTAACCAACCTCTTGCAACCGCTACTGTAAAGCCCATGTCGTTAACCACTGTGATATCCCTGTTAGACAATGTGACGCTGGACCTGGATGGCGTCTTGTACTTCAGAGTAGTGGATCCATACAAGGCGTCTTATGGGGTAGAAGATGCTGAGTTTTCAGTCGCACAGCTTGCACAGACGACGATGCGTGCCGAGATCGGCCAAATGACCCTGGATCGCACTCTGGCAGAGCGTGCTCATTTGAACTCCAATATTGTAGAGGCCATCAACACGGCAGCAGCAGACTGGGGAATCCAGTGTCTTCGCTATGAGATCCGCGATATCCATCCTCCTGCCAAGGTTGTCGAGAGCATGCACCAACAGGTCTCTGCGGAGCGAACCAAGCGAGCTCAAATTCTGGATTCTGAGGGTATAGCGAACACTACCTGCAAACGATTGCTGCTGCTGTTGCTTGAAGCAAAGTGCTTGCTGATGATTTTTTTTTCTCTGAACAGGTTCGCGTCAGGCTGCTATCAACGTTGCCGAGGGTCACAAGCAGTCGACAATTCTTCAGTCAGAGGCTGACAAGGCGGAACAAATTAACAGGGCTACCGGTGAGGCCGAAGCGATCCTCCTGCGTGCTCAGGCAAGCGCGGAGGGTATTCGCCGCATTGCCGAGGCCATCACCAACACCCCCGGTGGACACCACGCAGTCTCGCTCACGGTTGCAGACAAGTACGTCGAGGCCTTTGCACAGCTGGCGAAGGAGACGAACACTCTTATTCTGCCAGCGAATGCCAGCGATGCCTCTTCGATGGTTGCACAGGCATTGACCATCTACGACGGCATTACAAAGAAGCGAGGGATCCATTCTGAGCAGTTGTCTTCATCGACATACTCAGCATCTTCATCACCATCGGTGCCCAACAGTTCGTCGCAATAAAGCGCTTGCATTGCTTTGCTCGCTCTCGTTGAACAATTGCTCGAAAATGCATTTAAGGATTCTGTCTTTTTCATGTCCTTTGTCCGTGCTCTGTCCAACTGTGCATGAGCCAGTAGAATATAACCGCATCGCATTTATGCATTCAAGCCGATGGTTTGTGCTTCAGAGAGATCCGTGTACTCAGACATTTGCACTTCCACCGTCTCTTTTTGCTTCTCATCAGCATCAACATCGCCATGGACATCATCTCGCCACATATACCGCTGTCGCTCATCGCAGGTCTCACGCTCTACCCATTCCTGTTCGTCACCCTGCGGTGTCAGCTCGCGATCAAGCAAATTCTACCACCCAAGGCGGGAATGCCGAAGCATTATCATTTTTGAAACAAGATGGTAGCCTCGACTCATTTGGATATCATGACCTTGACGACCATATACCTTCTTTTGACCGTGGACTGGACCAAGGATGACATCTCAACCTACATCTCCCCCATCACACCCCCTTTCTAGTCGAACTCGAGCTCGGATATGAGCAACTGGCGTGGGACGCAGTCCATGAGTTTTATCAACGCGGTAGATTCGGGGTCTGGAGCAACCTTATCTCCTTTCACCAGGCGGCCGTCATTCTTAACTCAGTCTACTATCTGTATGCGACCATGGTAATCGATCCGGGACCTTATCTCAATGAATACTGTCGCTGATACACCTGAGTACGCCAATGTTGCACCTGAAATGGACACTACAGAGTCGCGAACTGACATCTTTCAATCGACGGCTGAAACGCGGTGTGGACACGGCATTGCTGGTGCCGTATTTCTGGCGTAGGATTATTGGGAATCGACATGGCATGGTATCAGGCGCCGTGGTACATAAGCAAGAGGTTCACGGCAACAACAGTGGTGATCTTTTTTATGAACCTAGTCTTGCAATTGATTATGGCGAAGCAGTGGGCCCGACCTTTCCAAAGCCTTTACCTGGCAAAGCAGTCGAAATCGGCCATACGCGTTTGCCATATGTCTGTAGGCATCGAACTTTATTTGAGAGTCCGTGTAAGTTGGGCCGCAACTTTCTCACGCTGTTAATGGCGAATTTGTCGTTTGTTATTTTTATACTTCGCTTGCTTTTCCTAATACTCTTTGTCTCCCTCCACCTTCACCATCTTCACGCGCTCCATTCCACGTCTTCATTTCTGCTCTCCGCCAACAGAGCGACCTTCCGCATCCCCTGGGGCACCTCAGTCGAGCCAGGCTCGATGAAGCCATTCCACTGGCACACCACTGAAATCGGTATGGTGTCGCAACTTACAACAGACTCGCAATGAATACCTGAGCTTCTATTACTCATTTTAATATAACATTCGTTGGATCCATTCAATGAACAGAGCGGAAGCTATTGTTCGATAAGATCCTCCTCGCTAATCGGTAAGTTCTACATAGGACGAGAGTATGGCGGAAAGAGAACGCCTCAGATCAGATGCAGACACACATAAATTAGGTCAACCCTCGTTTATTCATGCCTTTCTGTCGTCTCTTCTCAATGCAGTGGAGAGAGCACCTGTAGGATTATGATAACCGTCAGGAAACTCGGTATCAAGACCTTGACCGTCCTCAGCGATACTGACAGAAATGTGCTTCATGCTAAGATGGCCGACAAGGCCTACAGCATCGGTCCCACTCCTTCCGTCGAGAGTTATCAAAAGGCCGACAAAATCGTCGAGATTGCGCAAAAGAGCGGAGCTCAAGTGTCTAAGTCGAAATCAGATGTTTACTTAGACGGATCGCTTGATGTGCTGTTTTGTCCAATATCAATCCCGTTCATCCCAGATATGGTTCCTTGTCCGAGAACGCTGGCTTTGCTGATCGCCTAGTCAAGGAAAGCATGGCCCCGCGCCAGCGCTATGGCCGCAAAGTGAATCCAAGTTCATCATGGAGGCGATCAAGGTGTCCGTCGTCCCCGACTACCGCGGTGACAACCAGAATAATGCCTTCTTGAAGGCCCAGGCTGACAAGATTGAATACTCAGTGTTGATCAAGGCAGTCAAAGACAGAGTAGGTAAAAGCATGCGTACTGTGGAGAGTCCCAAAGTCTTTGAGATCATGTTGGAGAGCTCAGGGCGTGAGGCTATGAAGTTCTTCGGTGATGATAAGGTGTAAGTTCAATATCACATTCTGCCTGACAATCATTCTAGGCCCCCAGGACCTGATAGCATCTTCCTTGAAAGTAATTAGCAAATGTTCTGATACCCTTTTATTTTTGGTGCTTATTAAATGCTTCGTCAGACAACCTCTTCGAATAACATTTTCATTGTCATTATCAATATACTAGCCATGGCTGTCAGAGGAATCTCTACGCAAGTTAGGTGAGAAGGCCGTGGCCGCTGCCAAGGATGTGAACTACGTGGGTACTGGAGCCGTCGAATTCATTATGGACAACACGGATTAGACATTCTACCTTATGGAGATGAACACGCGTCTTCAGGTCGAGCACCCCATTACCGACATGACCACATACACAGATTTGGTGCAGTGGCAACTCGAGTCGCGGCCGGAAACTGACTATCTCAACTTCAGACCGAGCTCGATGAAGACGGCTGGGCCTTTGAGGCAAGTATCTATGCTGAGAACTCCAACAACAACCTCCTGTTTGATGTGGGAGTCCTGATCCATGTCCAAATGCCAGAACCTTCGAAGAGCGTGCGTCTGGAGAGTGGATTCATGCAGGGCGACGAGATTTCTGTGCACTATGACCCATGATTGCTAAACTGGTGGTCTATGGCGAAAGCAGAGCTGCAGCTCTCCTAATATTGCGCAAGGCATTGAATGAGTACGAAGTCGTTGGATTAGATACTAACATTGAATTCCTGAAAACTCTGGCTTCCCATCCTGAGTTCATTACTGGCAAGGTTGAGACTGGGTTCATCAAGGAGTATGAGAGTGATATGTTAAAGTCCGCACCATCTCTACATCCCGCTACTGTTACCCATGCTTCCTTGTCGATAGTTCTGACAGATCCCGAGGCCTCCAGACAGGCCGCGCTTGTAGTCACGGATGGAGCTTCGTCTTTTACATTCAACTCTGGAGTTCGTCTCAACCAGATCAGCGAGCAGACAAGGGTGTTTAAGCTGGAGAGCCAGAATGTGCAGGTCGGCGTCGAACTCAATTATGACCAAATCTACAATGTTCGCTTGCAGACGCCTCACATGACTACACGGTCTTCTCTAACGTTATGGCGAAGCTGGCAGGCGAGAACGCTGTTCTGGCTCAGATCGAGAGTCGTTTGTACAAGACTAATGTAATCCAAGCGGACGATCAGGTCCACGCGTCCGCAGAGAAAGGCAAGATGACCCTTGATGTGCCCCAGCCAAAGTTTTTGGCAGTGGGCAAAGAGGAAAAGGCAGTAAGTTTGCGTACGCCCATGCCCTGCAAGATTCCTCAGGTCATGTGTAAGCCCGGCGACAGGGTCGGCAAGAGCCAAGCACTCGTTGTTCTAGAGGCTATGAAAATGGAGGTAACGTACAGTCGCGGGTTCTTGCTGGCTTGACTTGATGGTTATCTAACGCGCGATCAATAGCCCCTTCATCGTCTTTTATTTTCTTCTCGCTTTGAAAATTATACAGTATATTATGCTGCTCGCATTTGAAGACGACGATGAGACCGGGGCTTGATTGATCCCGCAGCTAGTTTAAGTACATGGATGTACATCATTTTGTACAATACAGCAGCCCATCTTTATTATCTGTACATGAATTGTTTCGCAATGGTTCTTAGTTGACGTAGTGCTTTGCGAGAATACACAGCAATGACTCGGTACTAAAGGCTCTTGGCTGTAGCAGGGCTCAAGCCAATTGCCATCTTTCATGCAGCTGGTGGGAATAAGCGCGTTTACCCCTTGTTTTACTTCTTCCTTGGCTTGATGTCCGAGTCCTGAACAGGGCACAGCATGATTGCGTTTTTTTGCTCTGCAGGTGCACCAGTGTAGCCCTAATAGGTCATATCAAATTAAAACGTGGTCAGTCTAGCCTCTTTGCATCTTCTTGACTGCGTTCCATGAAAAACAACGACAATAAAAGGTTATCGCAGGCTCACCTTGCTCCAGTCATAGCTGACAGCATATGCATAAATACTTCCGTTTCGGTTGAAGGCCGCAGTCGAGATGGGCAGTGGCTGCTTATTGAACACTTTCAGCTTTTGCTTTGAGTCCTTGTCCCAGAATGTGAATCCACCGTCCGACCCTGCAGTCGCAAAAGTGCCGTAAACCGGGTGGAATGAGATCGCGTTCACCGCAAATACTGAAGAATCCCGCGCTGCCGGCGCACCATCACGATGGCATTTGAACGAGAAGTTTCCTCTGTAAGATAAAAGTGGCATTAGTTATAAACCGTACAATTCGTTCGCTCGAACACATGAATACACACACATTCCCAGCGGCTTACTGGCTATCCTTGACATCCGTGTACTGAATGGCGACGCGCCCTTCGATACTTCCGACTGCGAATCCTCCACCTGTCGAAAAACATGACACTACGCGGGTCTGCATCTTGAGCGGACTCTCCATGGTGCGGAAGGGGACCGTGGGGTTACTCATATCATACATAGTAATTTGACGGTCCGCCATAGCTGCCACCAGCAACGAGCCATGTGTGTCCATTGAATACAGTCGATCACTCAACGCCACCGAAGAAACCGGACTTTGCTGGCGGAGATCCCAGTACTAAGATGATAGTGATATAGCAGAAGGTGGAATGGTGATGTTGGATATCGAATTTTTTCACTAAAAACGAGGATCACAACGCCATCGCCGGTAAGTTGTTGTCCTGAACATCATTGCATATGCTGCTGTTACCTTGATGGTCTTGTCCCAACTGCCGGTCGCCACAATGTTGGGTCCATCGATCCAGCGCAGACTTTTAATGGGCGCGTCGTGCTTTGCAAACTGTGTGGGCTGACCTGTCGTCACGTCGAAAAGTCTTCCTGCGTTATCCGCGCCTCCGGACGCTAGCTTGGATCCGTCCTACGTGTTTGACAGAGCAAGTCTGTCAGGAAGATCATGGTTTTCGGTCCTTTGTCCACTGCTTCTTTCGGGTCGAATATCTCAACTTACAGCGCTCCACTGACAAGTCAGTGCGGGTCCTTCGTGCGAATACATAGCCTTTGCAACTGTCGACCCGTCTCCCATAACTTCCCAGATACGGACCTAATACATATAGAGGAGCAACGACAACATGAGTCTCCTTGGTGCTGAAGCATTATTCAGTACGGATGCTGGCCCTGATTCATACCTCATTGTTCCAGGACGTCGCCGCGAGAAGATCACTCGTCTTCGAGAATGCGAGGTCTGAGACACCATCAGTCGGGGGAGCTGTCACCTATCGACAGAGGGAATCATAGGGCTGTTTAGTTTTGAAGGTGGATGGAGAGGCGAAGAGTACTATGAGAGTGCATTCAAGCGGTGCACAATACTTCGATATCCTTTGGTTGGGCTTGATTTGCGAGCATCATCCTGAAAAAGTTGTTTTCGTCGGAATCTCAGTACTAAATGGAAAGAGGGCGGATGTGAGGAGGAAGGCTTAAAGGAATGATCGAAGGGGTTTGAATAGACAAGATTAATCAAAGGAACTGAAGGATGTGGAACAAAAGAAACACTTGAAGCACTGAAGCGGTGGCGTAACCTTATCGACAAAGAAAACGGCGCGATGGTGGCGCGTAAGATGTCTTTGCTCTCCACATGCGACCTGACCAAGGGTCACCCAATCACCGCGGTCATACAACAAAGTGCTATGCAAGGGTATAAAGGAACGCGCGTGCAGCTGCCATCGATGCTTTGCATACATGATAATAGATGCGCTATGAATCCCATTGCTGTAGCCGTATGATTCGTTTTTTTATTGCTCGCTGTTTAATGGTGCATAAAGAGCATCCTTATTGTGTTACATGTTCCTGTTACAACATAGAGGGGAAGCGCATCCAGGATATCTTAATCCAACTCTACTGCTGAGATGACGTGGGCTTGTTCTTCTCCTTCTCCTTCTCGTTCTCGGCCTCAATCTCTGCTACAACTGTCTCGATCTCCGCCAGCTCCAGACGCTGGTGTCAATTTTTTTTTTTAAAAATACAAATCAAGGCAGCGTTAGGTCAACACACCCATGCTTTTGCCAAGAAAGCGTTTGCATGCCTTATCGAGCATATTCTCTTACCTGGATAACGCTGTCCGTTCCCATGATGGCAATCTCAATGTTCTTCGCTCCAGTTTGAACAACCTAATTAGTAATGAAAAGAGAATGTTAGAAAAAAATCCATTACAAACGTTCGCAATGTCAGTCTAGAACAGCGATAAGATCATAAGTTCCTCTATATTTACCTCAAGCAATGATCTGATAGCAAGTTTAATTGCTTCGGTTCTGTTCATGTCCTCCTTATAGTTCTTCTCCAGAAACTCGCGAACAGTTTTTGAAGATCGACCGATAGCATTGGCCTTCCATGCAGAGTAAACACCCGAGGGGTCCGTCTGGTACAGCTTGGGCACCTTGTCTGAATCAAAGCCCATGATCAATGTCGAGATTCCAAACGGACGGACTCCTCCGCTCTGCGTGTATTTCTAAATTGTCGATCGAAATCAGCCCGTAAAGTGAGATATTAGCAATGATGGAAACGATATAGATGTGACAGCTAGACAGGATTTGTGCTAATGCGGTCCATCGAGCGAGTTGGCGAAAAGCAAGAGCAGACGTATTGGATCCTTACCTGCTGTACCCCTGCAATATAGCGCGTAATATATTCGATCGAGACTGCATCCTCCACTGTAAGTCTGTGGCTCTGACATTCTATCCTTGCCTTGTTGATTAATACGCGAGCATCCGCCGAAAGACCTAAATGTTGTGTCCATCAAGCATTTGAAGCCATTTGGATCAGTGCTAATTGCTATCCACCTGCGATAAAGACGCGTCCTCTCTGCCTTTCTTGTCCTTGCAGAGACATTGATGTTTCCAGTTGCGTTCACGGAAAAGGGAACGACTCTTACCAGCAAAGGCAAGACAAACGTGGTCATCCAGCATGCAGATCTTCTTTACTGTGCGTTCATCCTGGAGCTTCATGGCCGACTTTTTCTCGACGCCCAAAACCACAACGTCAGAGCCACGGACACCGACCTAGCAAATTGACGACGACAATGCAGATAGTATCTCAGAATGAATAGCGGAGAGTATGATGGGGTGCTTCAAAAGATGCAGAACTTCGGTGGATATATCTTCCTCTCTGCCGGAGGACGAGAAGCGTTATTACAGAGCTATTCTAATAAGGCAAAGACGCGTTCCTGTGCACTTACGACGCAGCTTCCCTTGCGGACAGCCTCGACAGCGTAGTCGACTTGGAAGAGGTGACCATCGGGCGAGAAGACGGTCAAAGCGCGATCATAAGAGCCAGCCATAGTTATCTTTCTTGTTTTTACTGTAATTGAATGTTTTTATGTGAGTGAAGCTGAGCTGGAGAGAGGATGGAGAGGATGGGAGCGAGATGTATGCTTCGAGACCTGGTGTAGTCGTAAGCCGAATTCCATGACGCGTACTGGGGTGTCCTTATGTTGCCTAAATAAAGTAAATAAAAATGCATGATTAGCGTAATACCGGTACGTCATATAAAAACAGTTAAACCCGCTGATGATTGAGTCGCTAGGACCATATCGGCTGGCCGTTGGAGTCCAAAGGCTGAAGTTCAGCAGGTCGTATGCCCTTGAAAAGCCTATACTGGGCAGCTCGCACCATGTTTTGTGCAGCCATGCTGTCGCGGTGGAAAGGCATCTGGCAGGCTAAACAATACATGCCACGCATATTCACCCGTCCAACAAATCCATGGTCGCATTTTCTGCTTGGACCAACAGGGCCATTGAACGGACACTTTTGCGACGTGTAGTATTCGTTGATACCGACCACCGCATGACCCCTGGTCCTGAACTATAAGGACAGGATAATTTGCGATTCGATTAGATCGTGTTTGCCTGTAATAGGGCCACAAAACATAGCGTTATATCAATGCTCTTACCGCTGAGATCGACTTTGCGCTGAATGTGCCGTGCAGTGAAGTCAACCCAGACGAGGTGCCGAACTTGCCGAGACCCACAACCCACAGCACCTTGTTGGCTGGAATAGCTTTCTTCTGGTTGTCTTCTTTTACCAATTTGAGAATAGCCTCGATAGCGATTCGGTCCTCTGCATCCCTCGCTTTTTTCAGATCCCAAGTATCGCGACGATGCCGGAACGATTGGTTGTAGTGCTCGTTCAACACCTGTCTGTTATTATCCATTGAGTTCAAGAACAACCGAACGTCCTCATCAATAATGTCTCTTCTCGGCAATAGTGAACTCTCGGCATCATGGATCTCGTCGGTCTTGCGCCCTTCGATAGCTCTGCGATACTTGAACTGAGGCTGCATCAAGGCCTTTTGCTTGATATTGAAAGTGCGGTACTTCCCTGTCGGTGGCCAAGGTAGTGTTCCATCCGCCAAGGGGAGATCAGGGATAAAAACACTGACGGCTGCTGTGACCACCTGGCCCAGGTCAATGCCACCAATGCAGACATCCCTACCGTCACTACACAAAGGGAACTATAGAATGAGTGTTTAATATTCTAGTCCTTGAAGAGACTACCTTCCAAAAAAAAAAAAAAAAAAAAAAAAAAACTTGCCTGCCAAACGTGTCCTGGAGTTCCTTTGTCGATCCAGAGAGCTCGTTCCTAATCTCTTTCAACCACTGATCGGTTCCCATCTTGGGTCAACTCGGCCAGGAACGGGATTTGAGGGCTTGTACCCCTTTGTGACACGCGTGTCGCAGGCTAGCAACCGCAGCTGGAGTCCGTCCGTCTGGAACGTGCCTGTGAGTACGTACCGCTTTGTGTATTGGCACACGTGGCCTTTGGGCTCAAGTTTGATGACCTCGATCTTGGAGAAGCAGCCCTTTTTCCTATTGAGGGGACATATTAGGTTGCAAAGGAGCCCGCCGGGCGTCATTCTTGCAAAAGTAGCCTCAAGTTCGCTCAGTTTGTACTTCTTGGTTGAGTCCATTTTTAAAGCTCCTAAAACGTCCTCGTGGAAGCTATCGTGGATAGAGTAGAACAACTCTCGCTCCGGGCACACACTTCCCCTTGCAGGCACTCGCGCGCATGCAAAATTTTCGCACATCACATCCGAGTCCAACCCAATTGGCCCAGTTGTGAACTGCCTGCAACTGGACGACGCGTTAAAAGCCAATGGTAGGTCAATTGAGAGCCTATCTCTCCTGAACTCGTTCGCAATCGCCCCATTCTTTTCCAGTCGATATTATAACTATTTACATGCCTTAATGGCCCATTATGAGTTTGGAGCTGAGTGAGCAACTTGACTCAATCGAAATGACAATAACAAGCATTTTATTTCATTCAACGTTGCCGTGCACGCTTGTTACTACGGCTATGGGAAGATACAACTGGAATAAAGGTGTCGCGCAGCTCATGTGTCCTTTGTCAAAGCATCCAGAACCTCCACACTTGGGTGCGGCACGTTCATTATCCATAAGGTTTGTAAATGTTAGTGACAAAGGTAATTGGTAACATTACAGGAGGACTTACCCACAAGCATGGTGAGTCCTGTCAAAACAGAAAACATCCCCCCACTTTCGCAGCTCAGTCAGCTGCCGTGGCGATGAAAATCCACGATAGAGGCCGTGTTCCCGATCGTAATAGGTGAAGTAATTTTGATTCTCAAGGTCCTCCATCCAAAGCCGAGCAGAAATGAGTGGGTCGTCATCCTTTCTCATTTGTTTAGCAGTCAACGCATACAGAAGGTTATAGGCGTCGTCGTAGGTGATGAAGTCGTCCCTGGAGAGTCGTTGGTTGTCGCCACCCTCCATTAAACGAGTAAACCTTGCATAGTCGATTGTTAACTGGCATCATAATAACGGAGATCGACATTCCCCTCATAAGCATAGCTTTAATCCTTTTTTTCATGGCCTTGGACTTTTGCTGAGTGCCGATGTTGCCTTTGTCGCCCAGAGTGTCTATGTGCTGGTAATTGTATTCGATGCGGTAAGTTTTTCCTGGCATGCCATCGCGTGTTTGTAGTGGACGATATATGGCATTAAAATGGGACGAACATCCACATCTATTCGAAGCAAGTCTCAGTCTGGTCTTCCCAGACTTTCCGCCTGGCTGCCTACCCTTGACCATGTGCTTCACACCTCTGCGATGACAGCCATAGCGTGTCTTGATCTGACAGGCCCTCTCCTTCTTGGCCTCGGAACTGCTGGCGAAGCCCTTGGTGGTATAAGCGTGCGGGCGCTCATGTTGAGTGAAAGCGGTTCCAATGCTGACCTGGCGCCGTGCCTTCCAGTCTGCGAAAAAGCTAGCCTTGAGGTAGAATACCAGTCGGTTTCGCTTACCTTGCGTAAATACCCGATCCTCTGCAAGCTGCTTCCTATGTGCACATTGCTCCCTACATGCATACCATTCTTCTCCCTATATGCATCGGTTCTTCCTACATGCATACTGTCCTCCTCCCTATATGCATTGACTCTCCTTATATGCAATTAGTCCTACATAGGATTCTAGGGTCTAACATGCTACATAGTAAAGTCCTCCAATACTGGCTCAAACACACTCAGTCTTTTCGCAACTAGTAGATATCATTAAAACCTATGTTCTTATTGGAGTTACAGCACTTTTAAATCAACCTGAATGGATGCACTATGTGGCAGACTGAAATTGAACACTTGGGTAAGATCAACTACAGCGGAGTATCTGTCAAGTTTCTTTGACACGCGTCGAAATAAGCATTATACATTGAAACCGACTCATATTTTCTGAAAAGTATGAGTCGGCAATGGAGAATCCAATGCATAGGAAAGCAGCATACTTTTATATGTCGAAAACAAAAGTTCATTTATAGACAAGGGCGTTGAGTTGCCAAAAATGACTCAAGTTTGTGATGTCCTAGTAAGAGAAGTCCATGAATACTGAACAGATTTGTTAAATACAGCTTCCATCCTGTAGCTATCTTCCATAGATATCAATGGTATCATTGAAAAGTGGAGAGACGATCAAGTGAACCGGTGAGATGCGGTCTTCTGAAGAGAATGAATTCGCGTGAAGCGACGCTGCATACCATTTCCGGGTACAGGTCCATGGATACTCATTGGATTTTCTTCACGGTTTTTTTATCTTGTAGATGAATAGCATATCTATCGATTGAGGGCATTGGCGCTTCTCTCCTATAAGTATAACCATAGCAATTGGCCGTTTTGTGCTGTCGAAAGAATTCAAGAATGATTCAGTGTCCAAGTTCTCTTTCCGCCCCCTGCTCCCCCCCCACGGTCTGCATTGGTTTTGTGCGTAAAACTTTATTCCAGATTTTTACTATCTACCGTGAGAAAAATCGCCCTTGTATGTGCATGGAAACTCCATCATCAGCTCTAGTAGCGTTGTCGTTGCCGTTTATTGCTAAGATCGTGGCCTTGTTTCCGAGGAGAAATTGCTTCAAACAAATCGAGGGCATCTTCAAATTGTTGGTGTGCTTGTTGTAAGTAGAGATTGATCCGCTCCTTGTGTGGTAAAGGTGCACATATGTCCCGTAATGCGTTCAAGGCGGTAAAGCGTTCAAAGCAATGGCCCCCCAGGGCATCCAAGGATGGCAATGAAGGCGCTTCGGGTCTGGCTCGAGCATGTCTGGGCGGAATTTCTCTTCATACGTTCATAGTTCCTCTCTGAACAACTTCATAGAAGGCATCTCCAGCTGCACCAAAGCGATGTGCTTGCAGCAAGTCGCCTATGAGCGAAAATATTCGCATGAGCAGCTAATGACATGGCCGCCAGTAGCCCTGCTAAAGTCAATCTCAACATCGTATAGCACTCCAAGGCGCGTGAAGGATCATACTTGGAGTGTCATGTCTGAGGCCTGCATGATATACTGTACCCGGCCTTGTATTCCTCGATTTACCAGAAAAAAACCTCCTTTTAATCTGTTCTTCTGGATCCGTATCTTCTTAGAGCACTGGCACTCTAAGGTAATACGACGATACTTAAACATGCCTGTACTTTCGTACTCGTAGGTTTTTGAATAGACAAAGTTCGTAGAGATACTGTGCTGATACTGCTGCTTCCACTCGTCGAAAACATCAGAAGGTAGAAAAAACTCCACTATTCCCACATCAATAAGAGCAAGATGCGAGTCTGGATCAATGCCATAATGTTCGCAGCACGGAGAATGAAGGTGTCTTTACTCAACAACTCGCGCACGCCATTTAGCACTACGGCGTTGAGCCTCAGCGATGCGCCTCTTCAATGGCTATTGAAGACAGAGCAATTGACACAGGAACATTGCGTCAGTATCTTATGATGGACCCGACAGACAGATAGACAACTAAGCTGACGCTTACGGCACTGACCTCAATTGAAGAACCTTGGCTTTGGCTTTGGTTTTGGCTGGCGTCACCGCCATCGGTAACACCGTTGTTGTCACTTTGGTTTCTGCTCTCATCGTTACTTGTGGTGGCTACATGTAATCCCTGCGTATTGCAAGATATACTGCGTATTAGCAACAGATGTAGGCAGTCAGTACACAGCATAATACAGCCAAAAATTGCGCGTACCAACTACTGCAGGCCATCGGCTACCAGCCGCTCTATCAGATCACGCGCGTGGGCTGGTCGAGAACGGACAGAGGATCGTCCGCAGCGGGTTGATCAGAGAATGGGGGACTCCATGGTCGATTCCATAGCACGAGAGAGAGATGTGAATGGGTGGAATTGAGTGGTTACTCGTGCTGAAAGTGGCAATGGGAGGATGGTGGGGCTGAGACGCCTAAAATGACGTATTAGAAGTGCATGGCCTTTAGAGCGTCCTCCGGCGCTGCTGTGACTGGATGCCATCAAAACATCGAGCATGCACTGTACGCTGATCAGTTCATTGTCACTCAACACTCACTCACCCACACTAACAGCATACAGCAACACCATGTCTCTTCCTTCCGCCGACGAATTGGAGCAGCTTCAGGAGATTGGTACGAGGAAGCAGCTTTCAGGAAACGGAACGAAAAGGTACCAGGAGCATTTTTGCATGTACACGGACGAAAATTTAACACCAGTAGTTGCTTTTCAAATACACCTTTAGAGAAGCAATGGGCTGTCAAGGCTATGCACCACGCCGAAACCTATTTCTCACTTCTCGAGGCTATGGATGGTTCCAAGCTCAAATTGACAAAGTACGCTCAGAGACCCCATGTAGGATTGGACATGAGGAACTGAAACATTTGAAGCTGCAAAGGAATTAGTGTATCCAAGGCGACGCTTGCAAATTCTGTCCTCTTTTTCCACAGCGTTCACCTTGTACCTTCAATTTTTCAACGATCACAAATCAACATAGGATCGACGATGAGATCTATGCTGATTTTATTGCTACATTCGGCTCCGACTTCAAGATTGATGTCCTGGACGAGGCTAAGGACTTCAAGTCTCCCGAGATGAAAGAGAAGTGGCGCGCCTTTATCAACAGGTATGATGGAGGCAAGGTCACCGACTACAACTTTGGCTCGCTCCTCAGGATCGATGCCAGCAAGGGATACTCTGAAGACAACACCATGTTCGGTAAGATATCTCTTTCGGATAAGGAGGTGTTTTCATGGATCATAGTGTCAATTGCAATTAGACTCGCTGATTCTGTGACCGCCGGAGATGTGTATAGCAGATTTATAGTCTAACATTGGATTGTCGATATGTTTTCAATCGATCTTAGTGACCCGTATGCAGTTCCTGACAATCGAGATCGCTCGCAACAAGGCAGGACTTAACTCTGTTCACTGCAAGTCAAAAAAGTAGGGGTGCAGGAGATTCATAGCATTGAGCGGAAGCAGGAAATGGAAACAAATCGTTTTCATGGAAGAAATACACTTGTCTGTAATATGAGATGGTCTGCATCGTACTGCAGGGCTAAAATCGCGCCAGTCGTATCTGCTTGAGTGTGCACATTATGCGGCGGACGCAAAGACTATCTTTGTAAGAGTTATGGAGACGGGGCCTCTAGTGTTGGAAAGTAAGGTTCTGGCAACCTAAAATATATTCTTTACCGAAATAACATCAGGAAGTTGTACTTTATCCATGGACTGATTTGCAGCTGTACTTCCGCCTCCCCTAACCTGCTACCGAGATGCACTTTCGCTCCATTGACCTTCGGCTGAGAATGGACCAGAAAACGCAAGCAACGAACACGTATATTCCTATCCATTTATGCAGCTTCCTTCAAAAAAGAGGACATCGATGCCGAATGTGTATTTGTTTATATGTGTTTGTGTATACACCTTTTGCGCCTTTCTGTCTCCCGTTTGCTCAGTTCAAAGTTGTTCCTGAGCTGAGATCCATTTTTGTGTTTTGGCATTTTGGTTCGTTTGCGGCAGGACAGGTCCTCGGGTTACATCATCCAAGCAATCCTGGGCTGGACTCGAACTATGATTTGCTTTGCGTGCATGCTGTCCGTTGCTTTTTGTGCTGCAATAGCCATAAACTAATAATTTAGCGGAAATAGCTTAAGTGAATTAAAAAAAATGGCCGAGACAGCAGGGTACAACCCATAACCATCTCCTTGTCCCACCCATCATCATGGTCCCCCTCCGCTATAAAAGGGCCTGCCACCTCCCTTCCCTGTTCTTCGTTGCTCCCCCCACCCATCACCCGCGTCCACACACCATGTCCTCCACTGCAGTCTCCTCAGGAGCATGCCCAGCTCTACGATGTGTACCTATCCACGTGCTCCTTGTACTCTCAACCCTCATCAACTTCATGACCCAGGCTGCACCGATCGCAGGAAAGAGAGCCGACAATAACGACTCGGCTCTTGCCGCTGCACGCGATGGTCCCTACAATATCACAGTCCAGGGTGGCATCATGGGTGCCATCCTCATCGCCTTTGGCCTCATCCTCTGCTTCTTCGGCGTCCGTTTCTTCCATACCACCATGTTCTTGATCGGCTTCTACTTCTTTGCTAATATTGCCTACGTCGGCATGGCCAACGGCGGTGTTACCTCCTCGACCCTCCTCCTTGTCGTCTCCATCGTCGTTGGCATCTTTGGTGGTCTCCTCTTTGTCTGCTGTTCGCGACTTGGCGTCGCCGTCTTGGGCGCTTTGGCCCTGTACTCCCTGGGTCTCTGGATCTTGGGCTGGAAGTCTGGCGGCGTGATTACCTCCAGCACCGGCCGTGGCATCCTGCTCGGTGTCCTTGCTATTGTCGGATTCATTTTCGGATTCATTCGTAAGCACGAGACCGTCATGATCGGTTCTGCCCTCGTCGGTGCCTACTCCTTCGTAGCCGGTGTTGATTTCTATGTTCACACCGGTTTCCTTCAACAGACAGACTCGTTTATCAACTCCAAGAACGGCATCGACAATCGCGTTGGCAAACTCACTGGTGCCCAGTACGCCCTGTTGGCATCCTTTATAGTATTGGCTATTTTGGGCATGGTCGTTCAGTTCCGTTGGTGGGGTCGTCGCACCTTCCGCCCTGCGCCCCCTGCTCCTGCTGCCGAGAATGTTGTCTACACCGAAAAACCCTCGCGCTTTGGAGGGCTCTTCCGTCGCCGCCACTAAAGACAAACACCTCACAATGTATATCTTACATAACTAACATTACTTTTACTATAAAAAATAATAATAAACTATTACAAACCAACTATTGACTTACACGCCCCGGATCCAACACTCCACCCTGACCCTCCCTACCTCCACCTTCAGGAACGTGCGTCTCTATGCAAACACTTTGGTCGCAAAGGGGCCGATTAGAGCGAACGCGACAAGCTCCCTCTTTGATTGTCACCCTAATTGCTCGCCGTCCTCGCTCAATTTTGTGTAACAAGAGCTTGGCACAACTCTTTTTCATCCTCCACTGTATCTACGCTGCCGCTCCACACGGCGCTTAGTTGCTGTTATTATTGCCGTGGACACGCCAGCTCCGGAGGTCACTCTTAGTGTTTTATAAGACGGAGGGCAGCGCGAGCCATGTTGTGGCCAGCGTTATGGTCTCGATCTCTCTCCTAGTTGCATTATTGGTACTTGATAGCTCGACCCTCGACCTTTTCCCAAGGCACCGCACTGGCAGCATTCCATAGAGGTCCTCTATTCACCGGTACAGGCTGTGAGCATGTTGTGGGTCGCTACTTATGCGTATCGTAGTAGTAATAAATCCTTGTTTTTTTTGTGCAAACTATTATCACCAAGTTCGTGCAAAAGTCGCGTTATATTCTTCTTTTAGGCTGTTATGAGTTGTTGACACCGAACGGTGCCCTTGTTGTTTCCAGACACTGCACCTCCCATTACAAGCACCAGTCTTATCATTCCCGGCTGTCACTTCCCCTTGCATCGAGCGGCGTTTACTACCTGCGAGGTGCCCTTGTTGAGGGTCGCTCCGTTCGCCTGCTTGAGGTGTCGCTTCTTTGTCTTGAACAACGTTGATGAATAGAAGGAAAGGAGTTCTCGCTACACTCCCAGTACTGACACGATGTGTCTCTCGATCGAAAAGCGCAGTAATCTCCACTCCCTTTCAGCACGGTGTTTTAACGGCGTTGACTGAAAATTTTATGTAAAAAGCCATTTGCAACAAGATCCAACGTTGATACAAGTTTCGCGCGCTCCTGTCCTCCCTCATAAGGCTTGTAGCAATGAGACAGTGCTCTGCGCTCATCTACAGACAGCCTTTTTTCCTGAAGGCCGTTTGTGCTATTTGACTAAAACGAACGTGGCGTTGGGGACGGAGTTTGTACAATCCCCTGATCTGGTTCTGCTGTTCCTTAACCTTCTTCGGCGATCTCTGGATCGTCTCCTAGGCTACTTGCTCTTGCTCTGCTCCCGGATTTCTGGGCTATGTCTCAGAAGGAGGATTTAGACAGGATCATTTTCTCGAAGTACCCATGGTCATGAATTACTTCCTCGGCAAATAGTGTGGGCTTCAGATAAGGACATGACTTGGGCAACTTGTATATGACTTTATCTTTTCTTTGGCGCATGACAGACGGATATGGCTTTATCTTGGCAGTGTCTGAGTATCATTTAAAATGGTGACCAGCAACGGTAATTCCGAAAACGCGCTTTAAGATGAAGCGCTCAAGGCCGGGCTAAGCAAATCGATGCCCGCGATGACGATACCGTGCTCCGTTTTGCCTAAAACGAGATGAAACTTTGGATGAGAATGAGGAATGAGGAAATGGTTTTGGAGAATTTATGCTCGCGGATGGTTGAATCTGGCGCAAGATCGAGAGAGCGCGAGGAAGAAATGGCCAAACTTCGTGGCAGCGATATCCTCCAGAACAAGCGGTGGAAAGGTGTTGTCGTACCTTGCCACTAGGTTCAATTGAGTCCTAAGTTACCATTGGTACCGAGGGAGCATTTTTTTTTTCACAACCTGAGTATTGATGGGGGATCAATACATTGATATATAGCTTCGTGTCCTACATCGCCACTATGCAACATCGCTTCCGACCGCTCTAGGTGTGCAGAGAGTAGGGAAATACAGCTCCATCTACGTGACATGCATCTCTCTTGAGGGAACAGTCGGCTCCATCCAGCCATTGCGGCTCTTACTTTTTTGTTTTTGACCCATTCCACCTGTCTGAATATGCATCCGGAAGAAAAAAAAATGTGTGTGTGTGTGTGTATGTGCTGGAAAGGGTTTTTGTTTTCTTTGCGTTCCGGTTGACCTGGCCACAGGCACACGGCTTGGTAGTAGTGGAAGGGGCTTGAACTTTATCTGCGGTCGTGGTTACACACAAAGGACTGCAGTTCATGCTCACTTTTATCTGCTTCGCCCAAAAAATCTCAGGAACACGACCCCAAGAAGATGACCTTAAGAACGCAATCAGTCGCTCAAGGCATGCCACAGGCACTTTCTCGCTCTTCAAAGCGTTGTTTTTAGCTCAAGGCCGGTCGTTTGCGGGCACTGACGCGAATCTTCTCCGTCGTTGTCGTTTTTTTTTGTCTTTTTTATTTCTTTGTACGAATGATTTACTTAGTAACAATCAGCATGCTGCGACCCCGGTGTCCATGAGCCAAAGAGTCTCTGTCAACATGATCAGGAAAACTTACCCAAAGGAGCTGAAACTAATACTTTGTTCAAAAGGGTGTTATACTTCAGAGCTATTATCAGTAAAAGGACGCGCGAGGCCTAACAGCTGCACTGCCGTGTGCTGTGAGCCCTGTGTGCTTACGGCTGCACAGCATAGAGATACAAACAGCACTTCAATAGGGCAATGGGCCCCAAGGCACAGATAGTCAAGACGAGAGATGCTTAGATTACCGTTCTAGATGAGTCTTTCCATTCACCCTTACATCTCGGTCTCGATCAGTCTTTTTTTTTATAGTCAAGTCGGCTTGATATGATGGGTTCAAAGTAGAGGCGGAGCGGGTAGGGGAAAGTCAGGGATCGGCGCTGGCTGTGGCTGCCCAGTAGAGCTCTCACTCCGGCTAGGAGTGACTGCTTCTGAAAGCCTGGTCGTGAGTTTGGCTCCTTTGCATTGGATGACTAATGTGTGCCGAGTATAAGAGGAAAAGGGCGAATGTGGACAATGAGGAAGAATGATGAGGGGGGACAGTAGAACGAGTGCGGGTGGTGTGCACTGGAAGGATCTAGGAGGGGGTCCAGGAGGAGGAACAGGAGGGGCAAAGGAAGGAAAGGGCAGGGGGAGGTACCAGCACCACAGGGCTCGAACTAGACCGTAACCGCAGCAAGGTAAGCATTATAACTCTGAATACGGATCCACTCATTGCATTGCGGATCTTGGTCTATCGATCTGTTCTTTAATGACATTATTTCTATCGTAATGGACGTTAGACGGCTTGGCGCAGCAAAAGTCGAATCGGTCGTCTCGTCAATCAGCTGGGTCGTAGGCCAAGAGCCTCCCATTCGATCGCATTCGGATGCAGCATTAAGACACGCCCATGCTAGCAGCCAGCCGCCCAGTCTATTAGCTAGGCACATCTTTATAAATAAATACACGTGCTAGAAATGGCCATTACCGCGTAGGTAAGCAGTATGGACAGCAAAGTGAACTACAGCGATCATCAAACAGCAGCAAATCAAAATTTCGGATGATGATGGCAGTATAGATGCCCGAAAACAACATCGTGTTGTTCCAAGATGTATGAAAAAGAAGCAAATGCAGCAGCAGCAGAAGCAGCAACAGAATATTAGCACATTTCAAAGTAACTGCAGCCATAGTCAGCAACAAACACGAAAGCTAATAGAGCGACCTGCAGTAAGAAGCAGTGCCAGCATAAAAAAATAAAATAAAAAAGACCACAAGGCACAAAAAAAAAGGAAGAGCACAGCAAGATGCAATAATAGTACCAACAGCAGCAACGGCGGGAAAGCACAGTAGGGGTGGTGAGAGAGCAAGTTGATGGAAAGCAAGGACCTATCGAAAGCAATAGGGCCAATAAAGACGATGTTGGTGCAAACGGTACCGCGGAGATGGAAGAAGGGAGAGGACGGGCTAGTGCTAATGGAATGAGACGAGCCGTGGTCGCGTGTAAGCGTCCATCGACCTCTGAAATGACAAGGAGCAGCCCAAAAACATGTCCGTCTCGACTGTTAGAGTATTCCATGTACATGTAGATGAAGTGTGTCATCAAAGTGTATTCTGTTCTCTCGAATGTTACAGCCCCAATATTGTCTGGCTGAGACCCCAGTTGTCAACCGCTGGGTCAAACTCGGTCTCGTTTTAAGCTCTCAAGCCGGGTCTGACAAATGAACCCAACCTCTTGGCATTTTCAGGAAGAGGCAGAATAATATAATGAGCTCGCTTTGTGTTTTCGGGTTTGCTTGCGAATGTAATCTTGAATCCGCAGCCGGTTGTGCAGGTCCTTGAATCGGATCTTATTTCCGATACAGCACAACGTACCCTTGGCCATGATTGCGAGCCTGGCGAACAGCACCTCGGTCCCCTCCATGGAATGAATCGTCAGAACGATGGTGCGACCTTGCTCAGCGTTGGAGACGGATCGAAACGTCAAAACCTACCGTGAGATCATCCAAGAATACGATCACATGACTGTCAACTAGAGTAATGGCGATTGCCAGGCCTTCACCGAGTCCCCTGGTCAAACGGTCTTTGAGAGAAACGAGCGAGTCTTCATTTATGGAGGCCAATACCACGACGTGTTCATCAAAAGCGGTGACACCCTTGCAGCACCCGTAGGAAAATGCTCTCCCACAGTCTAGGGGCTACAAAGAAAAGGACAAACGAAATATTAGGAATGTCGAGTCGGCTGTCCCTCATACTGATCATGATTCAGGCTATTTGCCATGACGTACCGAACTGTCCCAGAGAATATTGTGCTGACGGGCAGATATCAGTGCTTCGATACATATCATTGGCATGCATGTCGGGTTCGTAGTCTGCAAGTCGAGCCTATCCTTGAGTAGGTTTGTACAGTCCAGTCAAGATGTGGATCAGCGATGTCTGCACATCGAACCCAGATTATTTCTGTTACAAGATGACTCTCAATTTCATCCTAAGTGTTGATTGCGATCTAGAGAACTATTTCGAATAGTGTGGGAGACGACAAAGCAGGGCCATTTGTGAAGAGCATGAGAAATTGTGCAATCGCGATGTGGACATGACCCTTGAAAAATAAGAGTAGGGTGGTTGGCAGTGGCAACACTCACCAATGTGGACAGCAGCGAGACAGTGGAAAAAGGAAGTGCCTAGTCTTCAACAATCGTGGATGGAGAAGACATGGTCTCGCATAAACTCTGGCTGTAATTGTTGGCGACATACAAGAACGCCAAAATATCGTGCTTGGCGAAAGTGAATGCGTGCTGGTCCAGCCATGCTCGCAAAACGGACCTCCGTTCTCACAAGAAAAATGAGCCGTCGGGCAAGGTCAATATTATCAGCATTCCTATCACTTTCGTAGAATTGTTCAAGATCTGTCTCTCAACAACACTTTTGCGAGATATGAAGATCAATATGACAGGTGCCGTTTATTTGACAAGAACGATTGAAATCACTAGTGTTGCTACGAACTGCTTTTTTTTTTTTTTTTGCTAGTTGATAAGGAGTGATATGCACGTTCTTGTGCTTGGGTTGCGAGTCAAGGTCAAATACGACTAACTCGACGAAGGCCACAGATGGGAACAGGGTTGCGGGCCAGCTACTTGTCAACGTTGGCTTTCTTGTCAGCGGTCGACTGGGAACGTTCCTTGAAGCCAGTTGTAGCGGTAGACGAAGATGGGTTACGGTCGGCCGCGCTCTGGATCCTCGAGGCCGAATCCTTGGTCATCGGAGTTCTCGAGGGGGTGTTCGACTTGCCGCTTGATGAGTTCATGATTGAGGACTTGGTGTGCGTGCTTGTGGGGGTTGGCTTGTTGTGGGGGTTGGCTTGTTGTTGGTGTGCTGGTGTGCTGATGTGCTTTTGAAGGTTTGAAGAAGAGGGGAGGAAAGGGTTGGTGTGTGGGAGGAAGGGCGAAAAGAAGCTGCTTTTATAGGGAAGTGTGGGCGCCATTCACACACACACACACACACACACACACACCATCACTGAACAGGCGAGCCACTTAGCAAAAGAACGCGTCCAAGGTAGAGCTACCATGGGAAGATTGTGGAAATGAACGTGCATAGGCTCGGCCCAGCCCTCTCTGTCTGAAATGGACTGTAAATTTGCTATTTCCTTTTTCGTCCATGTTATCCAGGGGCGGGCAAAAAAATATTAAGGGTTTGCATTCTAACTGTTCTAACGGCTGCAAGTTGACGCGCCTGTTCCTGAAATAAAGTGCCTAGATTCAACCTTGATCAATCTTCTCATCACGAACTCACCAGTTCTCGCCCACTTCATAAGCCTCGACAGTGGTATGGCCGCGCCACACATTACCAGCGAAACATCTAGCATATCAACAAAGTCCCTCTTACTAACTACAAAAGCCTTTTCTTATCAGCCTCTTCTCACCATGAATCTCGCCAGGTCAACCTTTTCGAATGGAGACGCTATCACGAGGTGCCAAGACGTATTCAGGGTCACTCCCAAACCATTGCAACTGAGAGTTGTCGAATGTATCGGACAAGGCCAGGACTGTACCCTCATTGCTGGATGCGGCTGGGGCAAGACTCTGGTCTACTTCCTCCCTCTCGTACTTTGGGAGAATCGCATTATTGTTGTTATCTCACCTCTTGAGGCGTTGATGCAGGAACAACTCCGAGAATTGGGAATAAGAAGCATATCCCTCGGAGGCAACACGACTATTGATTCCGACAAAATCGAAGAGCTGGCTAAGGGAACGTTCAGGGCTGTTTTCATGACACCAGAAATCATATTTGATAGTCGACGCTTACGGCAGCTTTGGTCCACGACGACATGGCAACGGCAACTGCAAGCAATAGTCTTGGATGAGTCTCATTATGTCAGCACCTGGGGTCCAGAATTCAGAAAAGCCTATAGTCGCATTGGAGAGTTGCGTTCGATGGTCGCTCCAGGAGTGGCGTTTATTGCTTTGTCGGCCACACTTCCGCCTACAGCTCTTGAGGATGTCAAG